CCATACTAAAGAATACATTTGTTTATAAAGGACGATGGACAGCATTTGAAAAGCTCAGTCCAAAGACCATCTTCTCCTGGAGTTTTGTTGGCCTTAAACTTATGGATAACTGAAATTATTTCTTTTTCTGTTGGAGGCTCCCAATTGCAAGATATGCTTCGGTAAACGTATCAACTATATCAGGAGCAACAGATCGCGTCATGGTTAAGTTTGGCTTCACAGAATTCTTTCCATCTTATGAGGCGATCCTTTTGATTAGTGCGCCATTGCCGTCTCTTACCATTTCACTGATCGTTCCCCGAGTCATAGTTGCTCCATGAAGAAGGCAGAATAGTTTCCTATTGTCGCCTAATCGAGCCGCCGCCTCCATTCTTGAGGCCATGTCACTCCAATAGAGATTTCTGTTTCCGCCTTGCTACTTTCGAGTTGTCAGGATCACCTAATATTCGTGCTCTGGCAACTTTTTCAGACAATTTGACAGTTACTTCCGATACCCAACTAGCGCACTTTCTACTAATGTGCACTAGCGTGGAAGTGGCTGATTTTCGGAAACATTCCTTTAGTTTGGACCAGTATTCATTTGCCGTTCCAGAAAAATCATTGATATTTGTATCATTGAGATGCTTCAATAATTCGGTTTGAAATGCGCTCTTTGTCCCCGAATTTTTTAGTTTGAGATAATTTGAGTAACTTGGGGGAAGCTGTTTTATGCGAGTTGTCAATTTTATGCGGATCTTGGCTCGAACCATAACATGGTCAGATTCATGAAGATTGCTCGTTTCCGCTCTGCTATAAGGAACGACTATCTAGTACGGAACTCTTCCAACGACTAAGATATAATCAATCTAGTTGAAGTGTTGGTTGTCCGGGGAGTTCCACTTGACTAAATGTTTGCTATGATGCCAGGAGCAAATATTAGTAACAAAAAGTTCGTGCTCTTCGCGCATAACGAAAAAGACGTTCCCCATTGGCACACCGGCACCGATCTCTGATGCCATATTTGCCAATTTTTGAGGCCATCGCTGCATTATGACCTACGCGAGCATTCCAGTCTCTCACGATTATGATCATGTCATGTTTCGGTAGAGACTTTGTTAGCAGTTGAAATTCTGCATAGAACTTGTCTTTATCACGGTCATCTGCCGACAGTTTTGGAGCATAGACACTAATGACTGAGATATTGCAGAATTTACCCTTAAAACGGGCATAGACCATACGGTCGTTTACCGGTTCCCACTCAATCAAAGCAGAATGGGCCTTGTCATACTTGACAATCGCTACGCCATTTCGTCCCGAGTTATTCGAAGCACCACAGTGTTATAGCCAGTATCTCTGCTCTGAACCAGGATTAACAATTTCTCGAGACACAAGGTGAGGAAGACGGACCTCCGGCAAGCTATATCCCACACGATACTTAGACAGGGTGTGGACAGCTTGGCTTGCAACGTCCATAAGCGTTCTAAAATTCCACGCTGATACGGCTAATACCTCGCCGCGCGTGCAGAAGGCTGTTCCCCTTCTTGATAGATTTCGAGCAATTACCCTGGCTTGACAGCACATTTTATTTACCATCCTTGGGATCGCTTTAAGCCCAGATTGTAAACTTATTGCATGTACCACCAGGCTCGAAGTATCATGCGCGTCGAGAGACGCGGACGACGTATCAAATGTATCTAACCCTTTCACTACAGATTCACTTGGGGATAGAATTACAGGTGGGTACTCAGCAGCCACCCAGATTTTTGACATAATAGCAGGTTTACTTCTACCAAAGATAAAAAAATTTGAAAAAATTTAATAATTTAATTTAATTTAATTTAATTTAAAAAAAATTAAATTTGAAGGACATTAAAATAGACAATAAAATTTAAAAAAAAAATATTGTAAAAGTCATTTCATCACTAAGAAAATATTTATTTCATCTACTTCGCATTCTCCTCAAAATCCTCCTACTTCCTTCCTGTGGCCCTAACCTCTCCTGAATAAGGGGGAACGCGGAAGCACAATTCACAGGCGACTGGATTGCTAAAAAATGAACCCTCGTCGCCTCAGGCGCACCGCGCTCTACCGTCGTTTTCCAACAAACAACTGAATCTATCAACCACTATAAATGAATAAATGATAAAAATGAGAAAAAAACTATGAAAAGACCTTACGCATTATCGGAATCATTTTCGTCATTCGTATCGTCAAAATTTGACAATTTGGCTAGTTTTCGAAGTTCACTTGTCGGATAAATCCCTTTAACATTGTTGATCGTTTGATTTCCCTGCGAGCGCTCACTTCGACGACGATTTTCCATCTTAGCTATGTGGAAAGCGACATCTCCAGGATAATTACCATTCAAAATTCTCTGCCAGACCGCGAAGTAGTTGCCTGTACGATTTTTTCATCCATCGGCTCAGAGACTGTTATGAGACTGCGGCCTATTAGTCCGTCTTCGGCCACTGTATTGAGAGACTCGGGCTGTAAATTTAGGTAGGCTATTTAATTTCCTTTTTTTGCGCTTATTAAAGTTATTTGATTATTTATTTAACTGATTGTTAATTGTTGCATTTATTAATTTAATAGTCTAAGAGGAGGGAAATTTATTTGAAATTGGAAATTGTTTGGAAACTTGCGGAATTCGGCGCGTGAATAATATAAATTATTAGAAAGGAAGAGGAAGGAGAAAAGGAAGAAAAAAGGAGGGAGAGGTGGAGAGATATATACATCTGGAGGAAGGAAAAGGACAAAGGCGCGTCGTCCTCGCCTCTGTACACTAGTCGAAACTCCGCAATTTTTTGTTGCTCACTTCTTTGATTCTCGCTTATTTTTAGTATTATTATTCCAATGCATGAAGAATATAACAATGCTGAAACTAGTGAAATAACAGGAATTGGACTGGAAAGATCCAATTGTAAGGGTGGTTCTCTTGCGCCTTCGGTCAGTAAGATAAATCATATGGAACGCTTCAGGCGCCTTCACCAGCGAAGGGTTATTTTTTTCGATGGTTTAACGAATTATCGAATTAGCTGAACCTTTTTCTGCGACTTTAAATTTTTTTTGAAGGAATAATTTTTGATCATTTCTTGTTTTTTATTTTTTGTTTTCCACTTACTTCACCATTGATCTTTCGAGGCAAAAATTTACCAAAAATGTTTCTTTTATGTTCATTTATTTCGTTGCTCTATTTTTTTATTTATTTTATTTTTTTTCGACAATTTAAATTCAATGTTGAAGCAAGAAGCAAGAAAATCAAACCATGAACAAGTAGTCGAAGAGGATCGCTTATCGAAATTGCCAAAAAATTACGAAATGAAACAGATGCGACAGAAGTGGGAGCTGGAGGAAATGGAAATGAGAAGGGTAATTTATTTGCTTTTTTTGACTCTAATTCAAATGTATGGCGCTTCCATTTTGTTTGATGAGCAGTCACATGCAGGATATTTTTTTTTCTCTTAGTTCTTTTCTTTGCTGTGCTCATCTTTTATATTCATAGTGCTGAAGCCACTGAATCTATGCTTTTACCTCATATTCAGTCTCATCTGCACTCAAGTGCTTTTGATTGCACTTTGGTTTTTGAAAAAATTTATTCAGGAAGCGGAAAAATATGGTGAAGACTACGATCGGTTAAAAGCGTTGAATTATCAAGCAGATTTATTTAAGAAAAAGGAATTCTTGAAATCAAAGAAGAAAAATCCCGACAAAGGATTCAGTGGTTAGTTTCCATTTTAATCGTAATGTTAATAAGCTTATTCTTTCTTACCATCGGATATATTTTTACAGTTTTTAATTTTTAGATTATGAGGCGATGACACTCAGACAATATCAGCGATTAACAGGCAACATAAAACCTGATATGTATTCCTATGAGAAAATGCGTCAAATCATGTAAGTTATCATATATGATTTCAATATTTAGAAATCACATTAAAAAAATAGGTTTTTATTATTTTAAATTTAAATAATCTGTTATTTCATTAATTTTCTATAAAAAACTTTTTCAGTGGTAATGCTGACTTTTATCCTACTGCTGATACTTTAGTCAGTGGTTCTCATTATCCCACGGAAGCAGCTATGGATAAGCTTGCAGAAAGCATTAAAGACCAGTAATATTTTGTTTTATCAAGATTTAGTTTAAGAGCTCTATTTTTAAAAACAATTTTGACTTACATCCAAAATTTGTAACATTGTCATAAAAGTTGCTTTTACAATTTTTACGAAAATAACGAAAATGCGATTTATTTTAGACAAAAAAAACGTGACCAATACCATCGTCGTCGTATGTTTGATCCTGATGCACCAATCGATTATATCAACGAACGCAATCGAAAATTCAATCTTAAGTTGGATCGTTTTTATAATAAATATACCGAAGATCTTAAAAGCGATTTAGAAAGAGGAACTGCGATTTAGTTTTCTTTCTTTCTTTTTTTCTATTGTTTTTCTTCATTTAAATACTTATTTTTTTGGTGGTCAAATTCACCCTGGTATTTTATATAGTTGTAGAACTCGATTTTATTCTATTTTTAATTCTATTCTCTAAATTGTTTGTGAATTTACTTAAAAATGCATCCACCGCATTTTTCTCCACATTTTTCGTATATGTACTTTGATTTCAATTTAAAAAAAGCAGTAATAAATATTTTAAAAAATAAATGTCACAAAAATTATATTCTTTTTATTTAATCATCCAAGTTTTTGCAAATATTTTCAAAAACAGAATTTCAGCGGATTTACTAGAAGGAAAAAGAGAATCACAAATCATAATTAAAGCATAATTTTATCATCTTTTTAGACAAATAATGTTAAGCAAGTCAAAACGTATCAACTACAATTTAAAAATATTAAGAAAATCGTGAAGACTTGAGGAAGCTGAAGAATTCTGAAGCACGGATTGATTGTTCAACAATCTCTGCAGCCGTGAAACACCTTGACGTCGCTTTGCTGAAGATTGTTTCGATCTTTCTTCAGATCTGGAAAAGAACTTTATAAAATTTAATTCAAAAATTTATCTTAAGGACTGAATAAATTGGCTTTTGGTCGAGACTACAATAAAGTGTAAGAAGGTCACTGAAAAGTGCTTAGATAAATTAGAAAAAAATGGGCACAGACCTATGATAGACTAATCGTGGAGTATCCATCGAAATGGAATTAAGCCTTGTTTTTATGTTCAATGGTGTAGATGTCGCTGGAATAGAATCAAATTGAACTAGACTATCGCATGAAAAAGATTTTTGCCCATATGAACTAAATCCTTTTAATTTTCCACCAATCATTTTAGCACCACAACCAGAACAATTAATAATAAGACATGTATATCCATTCCTCTTAAATCTGAAAAAAACTCAGCTAAAAACGATAAAATTTAATAATTCTCAGGGACAAAAAAAATATCAGTTCGTTCAAGAGAAGTTGGTTTTATTTTTCAGTTTCAGTAATATCTGCTGTTTTGTGGTGAATGCATATTTGCAATTTTTTACTCAGCAAAATATCGGACAAGATGCGGCATAAATCCGAGCAAAATTAGCTTTGAATCTGCCGACAATAGCCATTAACCTTATGTTGAATTGTGTGAGGTCTCTGGTACCATAGATATTTCTAAACACCTTTAGCGATCAGAGAAAATTTGTTTCACTTTTTTTATTTATTATTTATGGTCAATATATGAAATATACATATTAAGCATATTAAAATGAATTAAGATTCCAGCCAATGAATGGTGGGGTTCGAGTGGTTGAGCCTATCAAACTGCCACGCCACATATCACTCATTTTATCCGCTATTATTTTTGTTGTAAGTTAAGTTAAGACGGTATTAATGTTATAGTTGATTCCCTAACTTCCATAAACCACTGCCCTCAATGAAATTGTTTATTAGCATCTGTTAACACTGCAATTATAGATTTAAATCCTGGAGTCGATGAATAAACTGAGGTAAATTAAATTAATTAATAAATAATGAATACAATGAATAATGGCCAATATAATGGCCAAAGCCCTCAGTGTTGTATGGCGCTCTATTTTGCATTGTTTTATTTAATTATTCAAGTTTGAATCGCTGCAAATAAATTTCATTTTTCCGAGCTCTCGAATCGTACAAGTGCGGCGTGGCAATCATTCATTTCTTTATTAAAATCAGGGAAAATGTGGGGGACGTGGCATTATTCCCAACAGTTTACAAGACCATTTCTTTATCGTGCCAGTAAATCCAACAAACATAATTGTCAAATAATAGAAATTTAAGGTCAATAAAGCAGAAGATAATCCCTGGATTGAACCCTTTAAATATTGGTGTCTTTCGCAATTTATCTTCATAGAACGCAATTCACTGGTATGAAAAAAAAATCTTATATTTAAAAAATTATATAAATATATATATATATATACTTATATGAGTATATTAGGAGGTACCAAACATCAGATCCATCAAAGCATAAAACTACCATATCAGGCATGACTTAAGATATATATATATATATAGCAACGCCTCAGAAACAGCCCAGCACAACAGTCTAGTGGCAAAATGAAAGCGGAAATAACATAAGTGAAAGGACAACTAGCCAAGTAACTGGCATAATCTACAAGAACAATTCAATAAATGGCTTAGACCCTTCCTAATCGTAGAGAATAATAAGGCGGAGATCCTGCAAGATGTCTCCATCCAGACACACAAATAAGTGTAGGCCAGATATTGTGGTAATAGACAAGAATTAAAAATTAAAAATAAAAATAATAAAAATTAAAGAATTAAAAATAAGTAAGCAGTGATAGATATAGCAATATTAAGTGAAAGGAAAAAAAGAATATGAGAAGTTAAGAGAATACCACAGGCTAAAAGTGATGATGTAGAAAGTGAAAGCCAAAGTAATTCCAGTGATAACTGAAGTTGAAACCTCTAAACTAGAAAACTGGCTTCAGCAGATTCCAGAAATTCAGAAACAACGTTAGAGATCTCTATCCAGAAGAGCATTGCTAGGAATAGCTAAGATGTGCAGAACTCTCAATCCCCCAGGTCTCTGGTATAGAACCCGAGGTTGAGGATGATCACGACCACCGAAAGGGGGTAAGGAAGACTTTTTTATTATTCCCCATCCACAAACAACAATATGATGAATGAAATGCAACCACCGCGTAGTCTAATTCCTCTAATACGTCTGTTAAGAGTCCCTTTTTACATTTTTCTTTTGATGAATAATAGTAGGCGATGGCAGATTGTGAAAAACCGAGTTCGGACCAGAGTTTGCTTCACTAAAAGGAATTTCGGAACATTGGAATTTCAAATATTTTCAAATATAAAACATCTGCTGTATTGATTTTTCCGTTGTCAACGTATAGAGTGACAGTCCGGAAATGTATACCGCAGTACCGGCATATAAGGATGATCAGAGAAAACTGTAAGGCATTTTACCTACACATATTAGCGCTTTTATATAATGAGAAGATACATTCTGAGATAAGAAATGATAAGCTGGGATTATTGTTCTTGTACTACATTCAATTACAAAACAATCTGGGTACACAAGTCGATCCGAAACATATCATGACTTTGAATTTGCTAACGATTTAGTCGCGATGAATAATAAGAGACCCTAAATTATGCTAATAACTGCAAAACTGAAATGAAAACTGAAGAAATGCTAATTTAAAAATATCTTATTTCCATTTTCAAACTGAATAACCAAACAGCAAATGAAATTCCAGCTTGAAATGCTTTCTTCCTTTGGCCAAACGTTTATGGAATCATATGAAATCAGCGTCAAAACAAAAGAATCTGACGAGTTTCAGGGTTGCGAAATATGGCCTATAAGTGCATATCAAGAAGCTACCTACATTTTACGCACTCGCCGTGGCATGAATAGTTTTTCATAAATTTTTGTGTTTTGGATAAAAATCGAAAAAAAAACGATATTTTTATGGCATTTAAAAGGATTTACAAATGATCACACATGACTGCCGACCGAACAATGTGTATACTGATGATCTCATATACTATCGCCATGATTTTCGCGTTTTGCCATAGGAATCAAAGCATATCAAGCAATATATGTTGAGACTCATGACGGAAGAGGTCAAACTAAAGGATACGGAGGACTAATCAAGCCACTCATATAGCCACAGCCAAGAGAGACTTTGAAGCATATGTGGCGATATATGGGCTTAACTGAAGGAAGAACGACTGCTATTTTCTGCTGTTTTCAAGGTACGCCATCGAATGGCTTGAAAATGTCAACGAGTGTGGCTTGGGTAATGGTACCGCATACGTACATATGTTAGAAAAAAGAAATTTATTAATTTATGACAATGAGTACTGAAATTTGTATACTTTTTTATTTCTCCAAATTGTCGTTTTCTTTTTTTCAAACGTTTAATAAATCGTCGTTTTTTCCAATTTACTTTTTTTTTTTTCTTAATCTCCATAGTGAATGAATTTTCAACGGTAAAATTTAGTGCACATTGATAACAACGTGGAACTTTCCTCGACATTTCGAAGCCAATTTCCTGAAAAAATTTCTTGATTTTCAAGAGATATATTTTGAAAAAATGCTAAATTTTCGAAGTCTACAGCAAACCTTATTAATGGATCGCGCCTTTTGTGCGAGCACTGATGCAAATGGTGGCGGTAATCCACGTCGCAGATATTCATCAGAAATCGTAAATAAATGACCCGCATGGATTTTCGCTAAATTATGTCGTTGGAACCAAAAATCCCCTTCTTCCATAAGGTTGAACAATGAAACAATGAAATGAAACAAAAAATGTATCGATAACCACTCGCCTTTAGCACTAACCTCTTATAAATCACAAATTTATGATTATAACTTACAACTGCACAATGCTATAACACAATGCCACTCGATCCTATCATTTTTTCCCACTTTTATTTAATAGAAATATAAACCATTACAAATAGAAGTCTCATCTCCATGTCAAATTTAATCTATAGTTTAACACTAAGATCCTCCTTTTTTCTCCTTTGTTCTTCCTCTTTTTCCCCTCATTTACCTTCGCTTCCTTTCCATCATAAAGGGTGAAAATATTTTCGTGCTATTTAACCATAAGAACCCAGATTTTTAACAGCAAGGATCACTTAATTATCTCAAATATACAAAAAATCATATATAAATCAACAAATCGGCAACCAAATTTGATTAATGACATTCGAAAAATCGAAGTACACAAAAGGAAATTTTATTGGAATTTAAATAAACGCGACAACTTCAAAAAAAATTACTCAATGAATAAACATTGACAGAATATATAGAATTAACACTGACGAAGACTTCTAACGATACCCAATAAATCGTCAAGTCATATCAGAAGACAACAATTTTTATTGTTTTTTTCAAAATTTCACAGAAAAATAATCCTAATACGGTCGTGAATTTTCAAAACAAAAGCCGTTAAAAAAAGAGAAAGAAATATGAAATTTCACAATCATATTAATAAACATGTAAAGAAATGAGAAAAATAAAAAACATAATCAGGAAGTTCACTTCAAATTAGAAAGTGATAGACAATGGGTTCAGTTAAGAAATCCTAGAGAAAAAAATTAAAAATAAATCTGCTATATGCCAAGCCTCAAAAATAAAGTTACTCTAAGCAAATAAGAATCTATTGATAAATTTTGATAGGAATTTGATACATTACTCAAAAATATAAAATGGAAACAAAATTACTCAAAAAAATCGAAACATCCAAACTGGTCCAGCAAATTTACCAAATTTTCCACTTCAAAAGCATAAAACAAAAGAAATACTTAAATGTTTAACCAAATAAGCAAGAAAAATACAAAAAAATACTTTATCTAACGCCCATCACCTTTCGAAGAAGCGAGAACCGAAGCAGCTTCATTTACCTTCGAATGCAGCAATTCTTCATTTTCAAGCATCATTAGCAGTTCTGAATTATCCATTTCTAACATCATTCCAGTAATTTTGCCAACATCAGGTCCATGATAAATACGTTCGATCAGTGGATATATACGCTCACCCAAAATTTGTTTCTGTTGCTGGAAATCATTTTCGTTACCTCTTGTGAATTATTCAACACATTTTGTTACAACTCTCTTGAATTGAATTTGCCTAGTTCACATAAACTTTTACCTGAGGTGATGCATCAGCCAAGAATTCAGTTGTGAGAATATCTTGGCCAGGCATCGCAATTCCAGGCTGTTGAGATGTAATCTGCCCTCCACGACTAGTTACTTCACTATAGTTTGCATATATCAACTGTTGTGTAGCATGCGTTGGTTTACCAGCTTGAGCTTGACGAGCTCCCTGAAATATTTTGCGACATTCTTTGAATAAAACTAGTATTGATGTGAAACTTATAACGGAAATTTATTTCAATATTATTCAAAATGCAACCATTTGTTGGGGACGAACTCCTAGTTGCCCCTGAACAATCGCATTATTCATTCTTTGAGCTTGTGCACCACGATTTTGAGCTGGCTGTGTTTGTCCAGCGAACTGTCCGGTCTGGGCACGTATGGCTGCAGTAGTTCCGACGCCGGTAGTTGGACGACCACCACCACGGCCTGCTTGTGCATATGCACTGTTTTGTACCACATATGGTGATTGGACTCCTAAAATTTATTTCATAGAATAGTCAAAAATAAATGAAAAAAGCAAAAAATTTCAACCCACCATTATTCCCACAAATATCTTGGTAAAATTCAATCATGATAATGCCAAATTTTCCATAACTTTGGAAGTTTTCTTATAACCAAGCAAAGCAAAAAATTCAAACCATATCCAGTAGCTGAAGCATTAATCGCACTCCAACGCGGTGCAGATCCACGTATTTGTGCACCAGGAATAGCAGCTGGCATGAATGTTGGAGCACGTTGACCTTGTATTGCAGATGAAACAAAATATCCTGCATTTCCCGGAGTATACATCGTTCCGGTAATAGCATTAGCATTGTGCATACGTAGTTGGGCTAGGCGATTCATATACTGTGATGCCAGCTGTGCTTTTCGATCTTCCTTACGTTGAGCAAGTGCAACATAAAGTGGTTTTGAGCATAACATTTTACCAGACATATCTGTTACTGCCTAAAATAATTTCAAAATGTTTTTGAAAATATTCTGAAAAAAACCAGCAAAATGGACAAATTTATTACTTTCGTGGCTTCATCCGGCTTCTCAAAGCATACAAAACCAAATCCTTTAGAACGTCCATTGTCGTCACACATTACCTTGGCTGATGTAATCTTCCCAAATGCTTCAAAATTTTGTCTCAGTATATCATCGTCAACAGAGTCATCCAAATTTTTCACATATAAATTAACTCCTTGATATCTTTGCATTCGTTCAACTTTTTGAGCCTCGTATCTGCGTTTCAGTTCAGCGGAACGTTCATTTTTTTTCTGGGCGCGGCAGACATACAGTTTACGATCCGTTCCAGGTAATTCATATTCATGCATCTCGCTCACAGCCTAAAAAATCCCGTTTAACCATGCTTACTTTTCTTCTGCTATTATTCTCCAAGCATTAAAAAATAAGCCCTGTCTTTTTTTGCTTTTTCAGCTTATTTTTGAATTATACTTACTTTTTTATGAAATTTTAGGATAGGATTTCTCTATATGTGGTACAAAATAGTAAATATGCTTAAGCAGGCCGTGTAACAATCAGTAACAAATCAATAAGTGATAGATAACGATGTCCCTTTTTGAGAGCAATACTTCCAATTTGATCCATTCACTATTAGGGCAACATCCCTTCATCAGATTAGTTTTACCGATGAACAGCTCTCTTTAATTTCATTTTTCCCATTAAAAAACTAGTTCTAGTTATTAACTATAATCGGAAAAATACCATTAATCGATCATAATTTCTTGTTAACTTCCTCTCTCTGTCTTAAACCCGACCATTATTCTAAACTCATAAAGTTTTTGACAGTTTGTCCTGCGATCTAAATATATTCTACTCTCCTCTTATCTTTATTATTCCACTATACAACCTGCATGAAATTTGTTGACAATTATTAACAATAAATTATTCAATAAATCTTTCCTACAATCCATATAATTCTTCGATAAAAATAAATTAATTTTCCAAAAAACCATTATCATCCTTTCCATATATTCTTCAGTTGTTCAAAAAATATTTTTCACTATTCAAAAAATCTTTTAAAAGACAATACTTTTTCTGCCTCTTCTGGATTTTCAAAGGCAACGAATCCAAATCCTTTCGACTTGCCGTCTGCATCAATCATAACTGCAGCACTAGTTATTTTGCCGAATTTCAAGAATAAATTCTCCAGTTTTTCCTTGTCTAGTTCATCCGCAAAATTTTTGACGAATACATTTGTAAAACGTCTGGCAGTTTCACCCATTTCACGCATGCGAGCAGCACGAGGTTGAAATTTCCCAACAAATCTATAAATATCAATATCAAATATTATCAAATATCTGTATTCTTTATAATATTTTATTATTTTTTTATTTATCTAAATAACTAATAACTAAGCGAAAGCAGCGTTACCTATTATCATTATCATTAAAATATATATTTACACATCCTGAAGAATCTCAGAAGATTATTAAAAATTTTTGATCGACCGCAAGAAAAATGATATGCTAAATGATAGATTAAACTGACAAAATCTTCCAAAAAATGAAAAAAGAACATACACTTTTTTGCCTTCAAGAAGCATTCCGTTGACTTTGTCAATGGCTTTTTGGGCATCTTCTTCAGTTTCAAAGTGTACAAATCCATAACCTTTGCTGTTCGAATCTTCGTCATTAGCCACTTTACAGCTAAGGATATTTCCAAACATTGAGAAAGTATCATATATCGCCTTGTTATCAATACTTTTATCCAAATTTTTGATGAAAATATTTCCAGCTCCAGATCGACGCATTGAAGGGTCACGCTGCGACCACATTATACGAATAGGTTTGCCATACATGACATCGAAGTTCATGGTGTCCAATGCACGTTCAGCTGAAAAAATAAAATAAAAAAGAAAAAAACTGGTTGATTCCCGATTTATCGATATATGGTATCGAATAAAATATTCAAGCTAACCATCTGCTGGTTGTTGAAAATTGACGTATGCATAACCCAATGAACGCCGTGTGATGGCATCACGACAAACTCGAATCGATAATACAGGTCCAGCAGTACTGAACTTTTCGAATAACATCGCTTCAGTGACATCAGGATGAAGATCTCCAACATAAAGTGAAGCCATCGGATAAGTGGAAGCCACACCAGATCCAGCATTTGCTACCGAAGTCATTTTTTATTTTTTATTTTTTATTTCCCAGAAACTGAAAATATGAAGATGAATATTAATACAAAAAAAATCTTGGGAAATTTTTAAAAAAACTACCAAAATGAATTTCCAAAATTAATGAAAAAAGACAAACTAATGAAAAAAAGTGAATGATAAATCAAAATTAGATAGCGATCAAACAAAAGCACAGAGAAGTTGAAAAAATGAATCAAATATGCAGAAAGAATGTCAATTTGAACAGATGCATTTAAAATTTAACATGCATCACTTCCCACACAAAAAAAACTACACCAAAATAACAAAGAATAGTACTTCAATCAACATTACACCTTTTTCTAAGCCCTAAGAAATAAAATTACTAAATAAAATTAACAAATCTAAAACTGCTTTATCCGAAAACCAGTCCGTAAACTTAAAATATCCACAGCTCTAGAAACCTTAGAATAAAGAATAGTTCACCAAAGGAAAATGAATCCCATGAAACTATAATTTGGGAATTAAGTAATTCGTTTCATATTTTTAAAAAACGAATTACGAATAAAACTTTTATGGAGTAAGGGAAATGACGAGAGCAAGGATTTGGTTTTTCGCTTAAAACGATTTTTGACCTTTGATTTTGAGTTAACGCTGAGCGTACGCTTTTTTACGATTAAACACTCATAAAATTTGCGCATTATTGGATGTCCTTAGTCAATTTCGCCTAAAACCTACCTAAATCGCCAATTTCTAAAACCCTATAAAACTAAACAATCGCCAAAAATAATTTTCCGGTAATTTTATTCAATTATATATAATTTATTGAATTAATTAACAAAATTTGTTGAATAATAGAGAGGACAACATTTTTTACAGAATTTTTCATTAGGAAGGCATAATGAATTCATAAAAATTTAAAAAAAGTTCCAAAGAAAAACAACAAACAAACAAACCTTTTAAATAAGACGAAAATTCCTCTTCGAATACCGTCAAATTTTTCCCACAAAAGAGAAATTTTTTCAAATCCTCCAAAAAATTTTTTTATTTTTCACTTTTTTTCGAAAAGAAAACTTTTTTATTTTTTTACTTTTTTTATTTTTTGTAATAAAGATGCGACGCAAGTCAGGTAGACACCCCTCGCAAAAGGATCTAAACCTAAGTCAACGCCGCTCAAGGCTTTGGCAACAACCAATAATAAAACTTTCCTCCTTTCAATAGGACATTTCAGATTCTTAACACGAAAGGCTACGATAATTAGTGCAAATTCTAACTTTCAGATTTGTCCTCTGCATTTTCTAAGAAAAAGAATGTTCTTTATGATAATCAGAGAAAAACAGAAAGACTGAATTTTAATCGAGGAATTTTCTCAAAAAGGCGCTAATTTAAATCCTTGGCATAGATCCAAATGCTTCCGTTTTTTTCAAAGTGACATGTTTTTTGTATTTGTATTATTTTCATAATTCTTTTGACAAGGAGGGCGCAAGGAGTAATTTTTCCTTTACTTTACTTGGGGCAACGTGCTGTTTGCGTTTTACTCGCTTTGCTCCTTGTTTTGTTTGCTTTTCTCGTTGTGGTTATTTTCTCCTATTGCGACCAACCATTTGTCAAACCCTCTGTCACCGACATTGCCTTTGACGTGTGACCCCGCAGAGTTTAATTTGAACCCTCTGAAAAGCTTGGGATCGAGTTTGCGGTCAACCAGGGAAGACAATCGTTGCCTTTACGAGAGAGAGGAACTAACCGAAGTGTAAAATAATATCGAATATACATCAGTGACACAGCTAATTAATAAGTTAAAGAATTTCAAAGAACTAACCGAAGTAAAAAAAGCACGCTTTCGACCGCTAACAAGTCGTTAAAATGATTCAATTATTCGATTATTTCTGATATTTTTTCTCCATGCAAATTAGATTTGTTAGAAATATATGGAATAATTTTAACGGTTGTAACTTGTAATTTTACGTGCCCATAAGTGAATTAGAAACAAGTATGGATCTTTTATTGAACGAGGAAAGGGAAGGCGAGATTATTGTCTCGGCAAAAAGTTCGGATTTTGCCTTGGAGAGGAGTAAAACGGCTGCTGAGAAATCGGATGCAGCTGAGAACCCACTTATTGCTCTGCTCTCAAATTTCCTTAGTGAAAATTTCTCATTGTGGTAGTGGCTAATGGAGCAAGAACTTAACTATAAATTGAAAATATTATTTATTGCCGACTTTTTTTAGTTCCAAAGAAATCATGCATTTAAAGGAGAATCAGTTGGTGGTTATTTGTTAAGAATAACCATGCTGACTTCGTTAGTTTTATTAGTTTTAATTGGGCCTGGCACTAAATCGGAGCAATCAAACGCACTCTGCTTTTTATCTCATGAGAACCTTTTTCTGCTAATTTAATAATTGTTACAGGAGTCAAATGCGGGAATTAAATTCGGATTCTGGTGATGCGTCATGTTCCGCGGAATCAACTAATGGTATTTCTTCATCTATATCCGATAAAGTAAATCCTGATGAAGAACTGTGTCCATTACCACCGGATAGAAATAGTTTTCAACGTCAGTTGAGTCAGTTCAATGAGGAAATTGCAATTTTAACCCAACAAGTATTTTTTTTTAAATTTTAATTTATGTTAGAAATTTTAATGATAAATTATTATTTTTTGGGAAAACTGCGTCTTTATTTCAATAAATAGTATTTGAAATTACAAACGCCCAAATTGGATTTCAAGAAGTAGGTACACTGATATAGATAGTAACAGGGACACAAGGTAATATAAAAGCTCGGATTCTCTGCCAGAGCATGAATAAAATAAAAAGCATGAATAAAATGGCCATAATTAACCATCCAGACCATGTATCGAAACTTAATGATGTATGATGTACAATCAGATAATTTACTTGAAAATGCAAATTGAGTCTTTACAACAATTTCTACTGCCACTATAATATAAACCTACTGAATTGGTTTATGCCACAGCCACCGTAATTCTCGAAATGCTGGAATATAAATTCACGAAGAATAATGCAATTCGACCATGGAAAAGGAGGCTGTAAAGTAAGGTCAGAGTACAATTGCAGAAGGGTATAAAGGGTATAAAAAAAGAATAAAAATAATATCCAGATAATCAGAAAATATAAGAGCTACACCTTATCAGAAGCCTTCGAGATTATTAAACAAAGGTTCACAGCACTGGCCTAGGCTTAGGGGTACCTTAGAGAAACAGAGGACAAAAAGATGTTCTAAATCTATGAATGTTACATATAAATCTATGAATGTTTGATTCTGTACAAAGTCAAGAGGACCATAAAAATGTTCATTGGAACTCTGTAAAATGATGCTTGATTCAACTTGCACAAGTGGTTGTCAAGTGCTGCATATATCAAGGTGACACACGCTATTTTCCTTACTATTATGCGTAGGTCTAAACCTTCTCAGTCAGATAATCGCAAGAAGTTGATGTGGATATAGATATAAGTTTAAGAGCTATGAAGAAATACTATCAGCCATCATCTCTACATAGATGACATCAAGTTATACACTAAAAGCATTAAGCGAGATATTAACTTATCCATTTAACACGAATTAACAGCGAGGATATTGGGGTGTCAATGAGGTTAGAGAAATTTGGCCGAATGGTAACAAAGAGAGGAAAAGTAGTAACGACTAATGGACCTGCCATCAGGACATATAGCTGACATGCAAGCTATGAAAGTAGTTAGCCCATCCAACAATCACATGATAACCATGATAACCATGACGAGGCAAGAAAGACTGTAACATCTAAATATCACCAAAAGGCAAGTCCTGAAAAACTCAAACTCCCTGCCATAAATATGTATGCTCCGCCAGCCATCAGATGCACATCTGGAATAGTAAGATAGATAAAGTAAAACGTGGAGGCTGCTGATGTAAATACCAAGAAATATTTCATAATACATGAAAATTTCCATTCCAAGTCCAATACCTAAAGGTTTATACCAGTAGGAAAGAAGGTGGATGGGGTTTGGTGAATGACATTTTCTGCAGTCGACTGGTTAGCTTTATACAAGGCTTTATTTACAGAAATTGGTTTGAATTTTAAGGTCAAAGCTGTGTTGTGCAATGGATTGCATTATTTAAGAGGATTTTTAATTTTGCTGTAGTGACCAAAAAATTATTACTGGTATAATAAAAAATCAAAAAAATAATTTATTTAATTAACGATTGAAGAAATAATGATCAGTTCTGCAGATCGATAATATAATTGGTAAAAACTGTGAAGGAATATTGTTGACCCTGAGGAACAAAAGAATTCCATTACGTTTGAGACGTGACGAACTTAGGGATGAAATTAACGTAAGAAAACCGGAAATTGTAGAACTTCGAAAGCAACTCGACCTCAAGGTACATTCTTTGCCAATTTTTAAATACTCGATTTCTCGGTTTCTATATATTTAATTTAATCTTCCTGCACCCAGTTATAATCTCCCTTATCCTCCTAGCTTCTACTTTTATTCCCGTAATTTCTCGTTACGCCTTATACTTTTGCGCCTTATTCTAATAAATTGTCATAGTAATAAATTGTAAGGATAAAATGTTCTGGAGAAAAATTGGAATAATTCGGAGATTCGGTGGAGGAGAAATGTTAAGTATAATGAGGATTTGGTTTCATAAGGATATTAAGGATTTAAAGGATGAAAAAAGGATTTTTCCTGTTCAGAGTAGTTATGCTGTATTGTCCCTTTATCCTTTTCTCTCTTATATGTATCACACGTAATCTTTTGTTCTATTTCGTTATAGAATCGAGTAATATCGGATATAGAAAATGATCTCGTTTATAAACGAGAAGATAGATTGAACTTACGTTTGTCTAAATTAGAAGAAACTTACAATCGAAAAGGATTTACATCGATACGAAATGAGCAGGCGCTGGTGAAGGAAATAGATAAACTGAAAAGGAATAGAATGAAACTGGAGTATTTTTTATTATTTTTTTTTTTACCACATCAGTTTAGATAATTTTTTAATCAAAAATACTCCAGCAAAATTCCTTCCAATTTTTTAAATTCATTCTTTAAAGATTCAAAATTATTTCTGTCGTTTTAATTTCTTGTGATTATCCATTTTAAATTTTTTTTTATAGAAAATATAATTCCTTATTAGAAGAACGACGCATAATAGAAACGAAATTCCGTGAAGCTAAGGCTGCTCAAAACGTGATATTTTGAATTCATTTTTTTTTCTGAATATATTCTGTCCTTTATGGAAAAATTTTTCTTGATATTTTAATTGTAATTTTTTCTAAATTTCTATTTTTTCTTAAATTTTTATTTTATAGAATATTTTGAATTTTTTTCTCAATAATTGCCATCGCCATTTCAGAGAATCTTGAGATTAATTCGTCAAATAGCTTGTGAACTACAATCAATTAATCAACAAATTGGACATCACCATAAAGATTTAATGGATATGCGAAAATTGCTTCAAGAAATTTATATAAATAAAAAGGAACTAGTGGAAAAATACAATGGTGCGAAAGAAATTTATTTGGCATGGCTAAGGAATAACAGAAATGAAAAAATGAGATTCAGTGGGCCATCTGTCTGCAATCATTCTTATCCTGCTACATTTCCGGTGGTCAGTCGACAGCACTATCAAAAACCATGTATGTATGATCATCTCTATTTATAGTAAAGAATCCTTTTAAGAATCTTTCTGTTTATAATAAACTTTATGTATATCATTTTTTTCCACGAAATTCGGTGAAGATTTTTCCTATTCCTTTTTTCTTTTTATAATATTTATTCATTATTTATCGCCTTTTTGCAAATCTTTTTATGATTACAGATGATAATGAAGACGAAGAGCAACTTTTAGAACCCTTTTACGAACAGAAAATGTCCTGCCATCGTGTGATAAATTATCTCGAATGTATTCGTCCACACATGGAAACTACAAACCGCTTTCCGAATCTCGATTCATCTACATCAACTGCAGTTACATTTTGTCATTCAGTCGAAGAAAGTGATGGTAAGTGAATGGAAAGTGAAGTGAAGAAAGTGAAGTGGTGGTTTATTTGTTAATTTAAAGACAAAATTAAAGCCAGGGTTAAAAAATATCCACCTGCAGTATTTGTTTCTTTTTTGGATGAAAATGAAACTTGGCTCCAAAGCTTTTTTACAACCAGTTTAAAAATGGTTATGTAAAATTGTTTTTATATTTAATTTCTATATTTGTTTTAAATTTCTATATTTTAATGAGTGAATGATTCAGATTTTTGATCACCGTAATATTTTTAATATTTTAATGATATTTTTCACTACTGTTATCATCTACTGTTTCTTCAGATTCTGCAGAGGAGTTTCCACCGGCTATGGCTATTTTAAAAAAACACGCTTCACTACCGGCACGGCCTACATATATTGGTCCAGCTTGTGAGAAAGAGATAATTCCGGGTATTAAAGGAAAGAAAAAAATGAATAAAAAATCGTCAAAAAAGCCATGTCAGGTACAGAACTGTATCTTTTGAATGAAGCAAAACCAAAACCGAGCTATGGTTTTTCAATTTTCCAAATTTTTTTCATAATTTTTTTTGCAGCATATAAATCATCCCCTTGAAATAATTCGATTGTTTAACGATTTGGGAGTCGACCTTCCTTTATGCTATAAACAAATTGATAGAGTACTGGATGAAGTTCGAGAACTTCTTGATTTCTACAAGCAACAAACAAAGTTTTTTTTTATAAATGATAATTTGTTCTTATCAGCGATGAAATCTTTTATTTCAAAGTTTCCACTTAACGAAATAAATGAATAAGTCTTTTATCGACTAATTATTTTTAATCTTTTTATTAGTTTATTTACATCAATTTCAGCATTGTTGTGTGGAATGAGAGTGATTATTGCCATTTCTTAAGTGAGAGCGAATGCACCGCAGATTCAGCATGGAATGGCTCCACTGATATGTCAGAACCTGGAAGTTTGAGAAGTTATCAGTTGATGTCATCTTCAGATATTGTGTCACCTACCGAACCGATTGTAGGTTCTAATGTTCCGCCATCATCTAGCTGTAATCAGTTGGTCGATCAAGTAGTTTGTCTTTCTGTTAATGATGAAGGAATCGATAGTAAAGGTTCTACGCGATAAATCGTATTAATAATAGTATTAATAGTCGTATTATAATTTATTCTTAATTGTTTTATAATTGATTTTTTCAAAGTCTTACCTTATACAAAAGAAAATTTAAGTATTTTTTGCGTTTTGTTTAATTAATAATTTTATATTTTCCATTAGTAAACTAAATTGTTAAAATTCAAAAAAATTAATAAGTGTTAGAAAATTTATTAGGCTTTATTACATATATATCCTTATTTCATTAAATTTTAATGTTTCATAAATTTATATTATACTATGATTCCATAAATTTAAATCATAATTCCGTGTAATATTATTTGCTACATAGTCTCTTGATATTTAAGAACCTCAGTATGCATTTTTCATTTTGGATCAGAGGAACAACCTTTAGATTGTTGATTTCTAATTCATTTAATTTCTAAATTTTTTAAATGCAGATTTATATCTGTTGTGTATCTATATTTAAAGTTTAAAATATTGGATTACTTTTATTTTATTACTAATTTCTTTCCAATAGGTTAAGTTAAGTAGTTATTTGAATTTTTCAATGAGAAATTTAAAATTTTCTGTATAATACAATAAAGTTACAATTTCTATTAATATTTTTGTTATATTCTTTCTTTTATTTTTTTTTTGTTCTAATGATGCAGTAGAAATAATTTTTTCTTGAATTTGATACTTTTTTGGAAAAAAATGTAAATGATAGGAATATTCTTTAGCAACTAGCACCATTGCTGATTTAAATCAAAACAGCTTGCTGTAAGAACAAGGGATTTCGAAAAAGTTCCATCCAATGCCATAACTGAAAGAAGTCATCTTTTTTCCCATCTTCTAAACACATAAATTACTATTGTATGTATGGTCGGATTCAGGTTTTGATCCTCCTTACTTTTGACATTAAACTATCTTAGCAATTTATGGAAAGTTATTAGCAGCTTGGATTTAAGGAAAACTTCTTAAATGTGTTTTGAAGTTGGAATTATGTGTCTGGATTTTAGTTTTGAAATCATTTTGACAAATTTTCACGATTGCTGTAAATTAAAATTTGATCCAATGCCAAATAATTTTTAATACGAACCGGAACAAAGATTTCGGTTCTGAATTTCCAAGCACCAGTTGAAAATAAAAAATATTGTTAATTAAATTGTGTAAAAAAATAGTTTCCACGTAATTATAATTAATATGTTCAATCGTATGCTCAACATTTTTGTTCAATGTGCCGATTTATTAGAAATCCGTTTTATATGACATTTAAAGAGTATCTGAAATATTTTTATTAAAATTTTATTATTATTGCAAGTAAGCTTTTTTTGTTATTTTTATCTGAGATAGATATGTTTCTTACTGACACAAAACTTATAAGTAGAGAAATGGTTTTAAATCCATTTTTTTTTGTGAAAATAAATTTTGTCGCAGAATTACTTTGTGAAATTATTAAATTTTTCAAAATGTTGGATAAAACTTTTGTATGATCTAGTGAAGAATTGAAAGAAAGAATACCATATCAAATAAATGGAAAACATTAATTAGTTTCAAGAGTTTAAGTACCAGGGTGCCATTTTCGGTTAGGGCTGCTTCCGTTGTCTAGGTGCATGGAAATGAGGAATTTAGTAAGGTTTTGTAACCAAGGAACCAATCAGCTTATCTCGAAAATAAAGTTGCAAGGGAGGATGATGTGGGTTTTAAAACAGCCTTACCATTAATGCGAATACACTGGTAGTTGGAGTGGCTGGGACTGAGTGGCTGACTTTTTATAAGTTATAAAGAAAACGCCAGGGATAAAATGGGTCCCCAAAGTTCTATCTATGTTTGGCAAAATGGATCTGAGGGACGTTACGGTTATCCTCCCACGATAAATAAAGAATAAAGAAACGCTCCGAAAAATTGGTATTATTGTGCTTTCAATTATATGTGGTTTAAAGGGATAATCTAGGCTCTACTCTTGCTCTACTCTTATTCTATTATATATTTTAGTATATATATTTTAGTAAAAAGGCTCGACTGAAGGACGTGTAGGGTCGTTTAAAAGAAACTTCAAAACTTTTTTATAACATTAAATTCGCGTAATTTTCTCTAAACGTATTACAGTTCTGTTACAATTCTTCGATGTTCGAAATCATTTCATTCCTTGAAATTTTACAAGACTTGTAATTGCGTCAGCAGAAGAAGTTCACTGAGAGGTTTGGCGGATCGTTAAAGGAATGAAGTGGAGATGAATGGTGTTTTGCGAGTATAAAAGGAAGTTTTAAGGATGTATAACGAGAAATGGATAGAGAAAAGGAAAATAACTAGCTGTCGAAGTTTAAAGGCCTTTTAAGAGGTAGAAGTTTCTCACAAGACATGGCAGATTTTATCGGATATAGAGGATTGAGCTTTTTTCTAACGTTACAAAAGTGAATTACATTTCTTATTTAATAAAAAAAACTTTCTCTTTCTCATCCTAGGTGATCTTCAATCTCGAATCCTCTACCAGAGGTCTAGGAGGGTTGCGGAGCGTCTTAATTGCTCCCATCGTCCCTGGAATTTATTGCACCTTTCTAGTTTAAAGATCATAGTTCCTAATACTCCAGTTTTCACTCGGATTTCGTTTAAAAAACTTCAAAACGCTTTTGGCCTTCATTCCATATCACCTCTAATTCCTCTTTCAGTGTTTGGTATTTTTCGAACTCCTTATATCCCTTCTTCCTAACGTTCCTATCACAGTTATTGCTATGTCTGTCACGAATACTGATTTCTGATTCTTATCTACTACTATTACGATGTTTAGGGGATAGAATGGCTTAGTGGGTTGTTGCTCGATTGGGAGCGCCGATGCTGAGGTTCGATTCCCTACAGGAGTAAACCTTTACAAAAATCCGGGTGATGCTGGCGACTCACTTATATTTCTATCGCCAAGGGACTCCATGGCATATTGCTCAATGTGACAAGTGGAACAAGTTTAACCAGTAATGGTGAGGACTCATTATTATGATATTTAGTTGATTAGCCACTTGTTTTTCTGTCTAGATGGAAAAGATCCTACAGGATCTTCATCCTGTTATTCTCCACAATTTTATGAGGAATCTCTGGCTTTGAGAGGATCTAAGCCATATACTTGGTTGTGAAGATCCTGTAGGATCTTTTCCATCTAGACAGAAAAACAATATACGCTATTCCTGCTTGCATTTTATATCATACCACTAGGTGTTTCCATTTCTGCATAAAATTTGAATCCTATTTGCTATCTATTTCGATGGATCTGTTGCACAGTACCTGCTACTGTGATCAATGCCTCAATGCTGCCTTTAATCCAGCTTCTTCCAGCCACTGATAGGATTTCTCAGTATCAGCTATCTCAATTATCTATCGATAGTAGGGCTACATCCTAGGGCTTTGTTAGGATCGCCAAAATAACGACAAACTTCAGAGGAAGAATTTGATTTCCCATAAGATAAGGTCTGCAAAAGTTAAGGTAGCCAATGGTAAGGAATTAATTAGGCCAATATCCCTTCTTTATCCTCTATAAATCAAAAAGTAGGAAGAATCCACCTCAGAGAATCTATGTATTCCTATACCATTACCATTACCATTAGAATACCAACATGCAATGGTCGTAAGAAACGGAGAGGAAACTTATTAAGGTTCCTTCTAAACAAATACAAATATCAGTCTATGAGTTCGCATCCAGTCAGCGCACCATGTTTTCGTCAATTTGGTGTGTAGTGGAACGGCGAAGGCTAAAAGGCTATTATGAGGTCAGGCAAGGCGAATAAAATTTTGGGCTCTGGAGGCCATATCACCGACTCATTCACGAATAAGTGATTTTCGTAGGAAAGTCTCAGAATCAAAAATAATATATTTTTGTATTTTTCATAATCTGTGCCTTTTGAAATCCAATATTGTTGTCGTGACTGCCGGACATTTCGTTCGATTAGTACTGTCAAGGTTAATAAGTTATGGTCTGAAGTGTTCTTTTATATTGCTTGATTCTGCGAAAATATCACCTATTCGTGAATCGTTGATGTGGCTTTCAGAGTCCAAAATTTTGTTTTTATTACCTGACTTGCAGTGGAGTTGCCATGTGACCAAGAGATATATATATATTTTATATAGGTATATACATTCTTATGCGTATTGTGTGGAGGTTAAAGGAGAGCGATTGACATGGGATGGTTCGAATTGCAACCAAAGCCTCTACCTTTCCGGTAAGGTCGCAAGATCCTCTTAATGCTTAGCTGCACTGCCTTAAAGAGAGTCACTTACTAGAATCATTCTGGCTCGAACACCGTCTGGATTAACAAGGTCTGCGCCCCAGACAGACTACCAAAGCTCAATGAAGCACCACTAGACAATATATTTGAAGATGCAAATAAAGTTCTTGCAACAATAAATATTGTCACCATAACAAGAACTAATGTATTGGTGTACCCCACAACCACTGTGATTTTAGAAATGCTGAAGCATGAATTAACGAAGAATAACGAAGAATGCAGTTCACCCCATGGAAAAGAAAGCTGAAAAATAAGATCATAGCACAACGCAGAGAATTTAGTCAGCTGACAGAACTACGTAAGAAAGACCTAAAAATTAAGAGTAATATCCGGATAATATCTGGAAAAATATAAGGGCTACTCAAATCAGAATCTCTCGAGATTGCTAAATAAAGGCTCATAGAGCGCTGGCCGATTAGGCTAAGGCAACACATTAGAGAAAAGAAGCTAAAAAGATAAGTGCCCGTTTTCAAGAAACCGTTCAAGTTGTACTCTACTCAGAGATATCAACAGCAGAAACTATACGATACTAAAAAAATATGTGGAAGAAAAAGATTTAGAACATTAATGCAAAGATCTGAGAACAAGCCACAGCAAATCTTTTAGAATATTAATTACAGTTGCTAACATCTGGATAAAACTTGGTCCAGATATGATTCACTAATGGTAGAAAAGAGAAAAAAAGAAGTAATGACAAATGGGGTGGACCTGCTGTCAGGACATACAGCGGACGACATACATTCTAGCTAAATTAGCTTAGTA